ATGGTGATGAATGAGCCCTGTTGAATTCATACATATTCCTAACTGTGCTGAAGTGATTATTTTTAACATGTATTCCTTTTTTACTCTCCTGAAGAGTTCCCATAGGCTTACACGAACTCTTCCTCCCAGAACATATAATGAAGATTATGAAAACACTGAAGATGAGGATATTGAAGAAGTTGAGGAAGAATTGTCAATTAAAGAGGAAGCCGTGGAAGGGGATGAGTTGTATGGTAAGAACAGCAATTCAGCCCCTTCCAAATCTTCTAATCTTCTAGATGTTGAAGATCAAGTAAGTGTTAAATGAACCACAGTCAAAAATTTGTGCCTGAAGCATTTCTTACAAAACAGTTGACCAGGTTTAGTGGAATCAGTGTAATTTCTGTATTTAGTTAATATCACTAGTGACATAAATTATTAATGGTTTGAATAATTGTCTGGAGCTGCCTGATGCTTTCTGTCAAAGAAAGATGAGATTAGAAGTGTAGATACAGGTAGTCCTCAGGTTATGACCATTTGTACAGCAACCTTTCAAGTTAGGGTGCTGAACGAGGGGAACTTAGGATGGGTCCCCATAGTGATGTGATTGTGATATGGACACTTGGCATTTGGCTCACAGTTATGACGTTGCAGCAAGCCTTGGTCACGTGATTGCAATTTTCGATGTTCCCTGCCGGCTTCCCACAAAGTCTGGGGAAGCTGGCAGGAAGTCGTGATCATGTGAGGTCCTCACTTAATGATCTGCACAGTCCTCATTTAATGATGGCAACTGGGATTTCTGGAAGTGCCGTTGCTACGTGACACAGTCACGTGACATTGCACTTTATGTGCACATTGCTTAGCAACAGAGTTTCCGGTCCCAATTGCTACCGTAACCGGAGGAATACCTGTATGTAATATTTATTCAGCAAAGTAGTTGTAGCAACCTCCCCCCTCCCCCAATATTCTTAAAATATAGTTAGGATCTTTTTATGGATTTTTCAAGGTGTGCTGAACTTGGATTTGCAGTAAGTTGGAGAAACAGTGTACTTGAAAATTTTGGAAACATGCTATTTTGCTTTCTGATAATCCTAATAATGCTTTGTGTAATATTCATTTTATTTCTGAATATTCTCAAAGGAGCTTATAGCAGAATACTTTTGGCTTTGAAATGTTTCTTTTAACATAATGTGACGTGCGTACAGGAGATGGTAGACTCCTATTTGGGTCCTACTTGTTATAGGTCAATAGTGATTTCATAATTTGTACCTAAAATACAGAGTGGGGATAATACATATATCAGTATGCTGCTGTAGTATGTTTCTCACACGTTTTCCAAAAGAAAAAAAAAACCACATCGCTGTTTTATGTTTTAACAGGCTTCAAGAAAAAACTCCAGAAGGAGTTCAAAATATTCATAGCTTTATGTTTCTCACACGTTTTCCAAAAGAAAAAAAAAACCACATCGCTGTTTTATGTTTTAACAGGCTTCAAGAAAAAACTCCAGAAGGAGTTCAAAATATTCATAGCTTTATGTTTCTCACACGTTTTCCAAAAGAAAAAAAAAACCACATCGCTGTTTTATGTTTTAACAGGCTTCAAGAAAAAACTCCAGAAGGAGTTCAAAATATTCATAGCTTATTTAAGACATTATTAAAACGTGCTCACTTTGTCATGTGTTGAACCCATTAAGTCTGAGTTTTAGCTTAATAAAAATAACATAATTATACCAATGCTTTAATCGCAGAAAACTGTTTATTTTGCTTGCTATTACATTTTTGTTGTGGTTAGTTTTTCATTTCTGACCATTGTTAAGCCTCTTTCCTTTAGGAATACTTAGAGCTGCAGCTTGTAATAATGGTCTCTTCTTCTGAAGGCTGGTAATCTCCATGTGGAAAGACATCTGGAATCTGGTGCTCCAGGAAGAACAGAAGTCAGAGGCAGGACTTCGAGAAGGACAAAGGAGGCACCCATTAAATATCGGAAGGCTTCGCCACCAGTGCAAAAGAGAAGGAGAAAACCAAAGCCTAAACAAGACACAGCTAACAAAACCCAGAATCAAGAGGAGGAATTTCCATGTAAAAAATGTGGCAGGTAAACTTGGGAAGATTTGGAGATGATGAAGAAAATTTCTGGCAAACTTTCTTCTGTCCAACAGGAATAATGAATGTGGAATTGAAGAATGTTTGCTAATCTTAGTCTAAGGTAACTGCTGTGCTCCAGGCATTTTGGAATAAAAATTCTACACTGCCTTGCTGACTGGGGCTGATGGGAATTAGTCTACAATATCCGGAGACCACCAGGTTGCCTAATCTGACTTAATTGTGCATGTGTGTGAAGTAAAAGGTCTTTGCTTTTTTAATAGCTTACATAATTACATTTTTCCTGTTATACATTGTTAAGATATTATTTCATTTCCATGCACATCCTCCTGCAAAAATATTATCTTCCATTTGGGGTGGTTTTCTCATATGAACAAAGTGACGTAGATATGAGAAAATGCTCTAGGGATGTCTAGAAGGAATATTTCAACAGCATCCTAGATAATTATTATCCTTTTTACTGCAGTAACAGGCACCAGTTTAAGACTGAACAGGATTAAACATCAGTTGGCCTTCAGCTTGCACAAATCTGTTTCAATCTGTACATGTCTCTCTGTTAACTGGAGCTAGACTAAGGAAGAATATGTTTGGTGACTGCAAGCACCATTAGGCTGAAAAGTTAACTTCTTGTCTAGGCTGCATAAACCCAGTGAATTATGAATCTTACCAGGCATTTAGAACATGAAATGAATGAAACATATATCCAATTTATTTCTAATTTGGCACCAGAAAAAAACTCGATTCTCATGGGCTGTAAATTTGCAGGGGAAAAAAAAAAAGCGGGCTTTGTAGTTTTTTTCTCCCAGAAGAAATCTAAATAGAATCATGAGAACCACCCACTTGTTCCAGTCTGTATATAGGTAGAAGTTACCTGGTAAACTAGTACTTGGGTATTCAAAAAGCTTGTACAAAGTCTCTCACAAAAGGCTGCTATGGAAATCATAGTGGTCATGTGAAATCTGTAAGGCCAGAAGTGGATGAAAGGAAGCAGATGTGAAATGCTTGAGTATTAAAGAACCAGATGCAAATGATGTCAATTTATGTTGAATTGGATTTACAAAGAACTTAAAAGATTTTCAAAAATTGTGACTGCAAGGAGATTTTCCCCCTATAATGATCATTGCAATTAGACTCTCCAAGTGTGTAGGGCTTGTGTGCACTTTGCTTGTGTCAATTTGTTAGCAGATTTTTTTTTATCAGTACTGCTCTCACTAAGAAAAGTGCCAGGTGGTACCTCAAAATTAACACAAAACCTGAATTTAATTTGATGCCCTGTCTGCCCAAATCAGATAGTAGTTCATGTTCTATACATGAAACCATCTTGCAGAAAAAAGACAATAGAGAAAGGTAGCAGGTAGTTAGAAAAGGCTGGTCCTTATGTAGCCATTGGGTAGAATACTACCTTTGCTTGTAAATATAAAACATTCCTTTTTGGTAACATAATCATTCCTCTACAACTTAAAAGTTAAAAGTTGGCCAATTGTGGATTATACACTGGAACCAGATAGCCAGAATTATTTACGTTTCAATTGAGAAACCAGGAAGGTAAATACACGTTGGTTGAGATCCAGGAACAACTTAAGGTGTGTTTGAGTATCTTGGCCAAGTTCAGTAGGATTAGTTATAATAATGCCTATCCAGTACTGTGACATAAACCCATCATATTAAAGCTATAATGCTGTTACTTTTTGCTTTGGGCTCAGTGTGCTGTGTGGTGCATGATGATCCCCTGGTTTATTTTTGTGCACTAATCACACTTCTAGACCAAGGCAACCTATAGCATTATGAGTGTTGCTCAACTGCAACTTCCAGCATCGGCTAACGTCACCAAGCTCCTAGAGATGCTGGGAATTGCAGTTCTGCAACATCAGGAGGGCTGCAAGTTGCCTCCTCTTGTCCTAACTGGTTTCTAAGCATGCAAGGCAGAAGCAGGTAAAATAGAAAGGAAAGCAAACCAGGAATTTCCTGTTTAGCTTATCTGCGAGATTGACTTTGCGTGATTAACAAGTCGGTGTTCAAACAGACAATGGTGTAAGGTGATATAAAAACACAGGATTTAACTCTGTCCTGCAGAATCTTCTACAAGGTGAAAAGTCGGAGCGCTCACATGAAAAGCCATGCCGAGCAGGAGAAGAAGGCTGCAGCTCTGAAACTGCAAGAGAGGGAGGCGGCGGCGGCAGCAGCAGCAGCAGCAGCAGCACACAGTAGGACTCAGCAGGAAGAGAGCAGCAACAGTGGGAGCAGCAGTAGCAGCAGCTCGGATGAAGGTGGCGAAGTTTAGCAAAGGAGCCCCCGAGGTTGAGAGCCTGGTCTGGCTGGAGGTTCTGACCCTCGTGAACCTAAGTTGCTCCAGCCTTGCTTCCACTTCCTTTCCTTCCTGCTTGAATCGAACTGGTAGATTTTTAAAGGAGAAAAAAAGTGACCATGGAAATCTCTATTTTTAAAAAATCCAAACATTTTATGGATTATTCTATTTATAAATAACTTTCAGTATCTACTTAATGAATGGAAGTCTATTTTCCTTCAGTTCCTGAACTTGCCAGGAATCATGGCAGTAAGCCTTAAGCGTCTTACCCGCTGCTGAGAGAGAAATTTGTTGAATCATCTGGATAGTAACAAATTACTTTGTATGTAATTTCAAGGATCCATATAGTTTTTTTTACATACTTTTTTCCTTTCACCTCCAAGTTTTCTTTGTGGCTTGGAGCTATTCACTTTTTCTGTTTGTCTCCTTCATACAAGAATGTTTGTTTCTCCAGCTAGTAGATAATCCAGAAGTCTTTGAGCTCTGTGAGCAACGTCTCTAGGGTGAGTGGAGAGACTATCAGTTTTAAGAAATAGCTCTTGAAGTGTGGAAAACATTGCTAGTATTCGTTTGGAACCATCCCTATTATCTTACATTTTTTAAAAGTCACATAAGGTTGATAATATATTTCTCCAGAGTTGGCCACAAGAATTAGTGATGAGTTCTGAATACTATATCTCTGTAGTTCTGTGACAGAACAAATAACTTCGCTTGCACAAGAATCCATATATGATTTTGGGTTAATGGGATTAAGGTAGATCTCTGCCCAAGTTTAATAAGAGCCACAGTTATGAGAAGTTGATGAGTTTTATCCATGGTATTATTCTGCTGGGGGATGCCATTCATTCAAGGGGAGTCCATCTGTAATGATCATTCTTATCCCAAATCTGAACTTGTAGGTTGGAGAATCCTCTGGAGCAGCTTTGAGGGGAGGGCAAGAAAACAATTGGAAGCCTATTGTGAGTGAAAACACACTTGCGTAAAGTCTGATACTGTAGCCCAATGGATTAGATTGATCAGTGATCTGATTTAGGTTCCTGTCTGTATGTAACAAATGTTATAGCATTTATGTGAGGAAGCTGGTATTGAAGTTCCACCGTGAAAGTGCATTGTTTTTTAACTTGAATAGACTTGAGTGTGGTTTTGCTTAATTGTCCATTTTAATGCTTCAGCTAGCTTATAAAAGAATAGCTGCCAAAAATACTTAAAATTTTAACAGTTCTGATATTCCTTTCTTTTTTTTAAAAAAAGCATGGTTTGCAAAGGCAGACCAAATATTCTCGAGGTAATAGAAATAAGGATCATGCTGCATTGACTCATTTGCATTTGCACTCTCAGGACTACCCATTCTGCTGAGTTATTTGCCAACTAAATGAGTTTCATTTAGATGTTCACACTGTATCACCCCAGATACCCGGAGTCAAGAATACCAAATGTGGAAAAACCCAATGTATTTAGAAATGGTGCACATAATGCCAAATTTACGCAAGACTTCTGCAGATGTGTGTCTGCACCAAGCAGTAAGTATTTGCGATTATCTTAAGTCATATGGACCGTTATCTTCCCATTGTGGCAGTAAGGTGCAACTGTCTGTCTGTCTGGCAGCACAAGGAGAAGGCAGGTGCAGCAGAGGGCACAAAAAGAATGCTTAGCCAGATAGAGATGGGACACCTAAACTACTTGCTTATAATTTTAAAATTCTTATGTCCGCAGGAAATATGTTTAGCACTTATTCAGCTGTGAATTGTAAAGTCTTGAAAAATAAGTCTTCTAAAACCACAAGGGTCAAGAAAGCAAAGAATTGCATTAATAATCTGTAGAAGAATCTTTATGGAATAAACCGTGCTGGGATTTGCTCCCCAGCGGGGTTTTATTTCTAGAACCAGCTCAAGCTTCAAGAAGTGTACCTAGAAGTTTATTGAAAAGCTAGAACTTTTAAATTTGATTCCTGGCCTTGGAGGAAGTTAGAAAGACTTTTGGAGAAAGGGCAAATTAGAATGATTACAGCAAACCATAGTTGGGTTACTGCTGAGTTACATGATCAGCAGAAATTTTTATGGTGCAACTTTTACTATATAAGATTACCATTACAGCTACAGGATTATACATTTTCAATACCTCTGTTCATAGCACAAAACAAAACCACTATCAGAACATGCAAAGAACTTGCATTTTGAATGTTGAAAATAGGTTCTAGCCTTCTCTTAACATGCTGAGTTAGTTGCTTTTTAGGTGGAGGGACCTTGAAACTGACCATCCCTTACTTACAGTCTAAGGCAGAAACAGTTCCAGGAGCCAATCATGTGAACCTGCTGCTTGAAAAACAGAGCAGGGATCTTTGCCTGCATGAGGTCCCTGGTTGAGTTCTAGGTTCTCCAGTGGTAGAGACAGGAAGCCAGTCTGATGAGAATTAGAAGGGATGTTCTCAGTCCATTGTTGCTGCTTAGTACTTACTAGGCTAAATGGACAAACAATGTGATCAAATGTATGGTAACTTTTAAGATGTTCAAGGTCTCATAATGCAAGAAATTTACCTTTAAACCCTTTTCTCCCTGTAACATAACGGGCAATTCCAGTCTGCCTCTAAAGTGAGTTCTTCCAGTGTGTTTAAAAACAGCCTTCAATTAAAGGTAATTGCTTTCTTTTTACCTGCTTCAGAGCTACAATTAACCCTTCAAGTATTTCTCTCTATATTTACACTATTTTTGCACTGGGTCGATGATGTTGTCTTTCCAGATCATAGTTCTGTACAAACCTTAGCATTTTATACATGATATGTAGAAACAGTAGCAATGCAATCTGTCTTTTGACCACATCTTCAAAAATGGCTTGTCTCAATCATGTTTTCTTTTGCACTTAGCCTGTATGAATTCCAGCCCAAACAGGAAAAGAATCTTGTTCAAATAATTCACTAGAGACCTTGAGAAAGGCAATGTTTGATTCCCCAACTGATGTTCAGAAAGGAAGAGAACTGCTGCCTTGAAAGTGGGCATTAAACTGAACCAATATCATATATTAAGAGGGAATATATTTTCTGGGAGTGAACAAAGTATCCTAATGGTGTTTTTTGGAAAGAAAAAAGAGATGTATGTGGAACAAATTGTGAAAATATTTTGTTGCTGGGTGGAACGTGTTCTTCCCAAATACAATTGCTACAATCCAGCACAGATGCACTTTGTGATTCATTGTGTGCCATTTTGTAGCTATAAAAAGACTTATGTATAGGACTCCTAAAATGGTATTCATATCATATCAGTAATACAGGTAGTCTTCTCTTAACTACTGTTGATTTAACGACTTTATGATAGCGCTAAAGTGACTTATGACCGGTCTTCACACTTACAACCATCGCAGCATCCCTGAAGTTACATGATTGTGATCCGGGTGCTTGGCAACCAGCTTGCACTTATGAGGGTTGTAGCGTCCTGGGTTCATGCGATCGCCATTTGCGACCTTCCTAGCTGGCTTCTGGCAAGCAAAATCAATGGGGAACCACGATTCACTTAACAACTGCTGCAAAAAAGATCATAAAAGTGGATTTGATCATATGATTCACTTAATGACTGCATCACTTAGTGACCTAAATTCTGGTCGTTAAGCAAGGACTACCTGTAATGCATCAATGAACTTGAACTCAGCTGATCTTTGCAATAGATAACTTAATATCCATGGAAAGTACATCATGTGGGAATGATTTCTGATGTACTTTGAAGGGCACAATCCAGTAAAGTCTGTCATGACTATCCAGTTCAAATAAATGGGAATTAATTTATTTTTCATATTATATTTATCATAATATGAAAAATTTGGTTCATGCGCTTCTTTAGGCCACAGTGGAATTGACTTGCCTATAGCTGCTTTTTTCCTTCTTCCATATAGAGCATGTACTTGAAGAGGGGAGGAATGCCTTTCAACTCACTGTTCAGGTTCAGACTTCATAAAATCTGGAGAAGAGCGGACTTAGCATGTATACAAATGTAAGGAAGCACTCTGATGCGGAGTTAAGGGATGAAGCCAGGAAATGCTGCCCACTTCCTCCTTTGTGAAACTGGGCACAAGAAGCAATGGTGTGGTCTAGAATATGGTGCTCTGGGTTATTAGCCTACAGCTGAGGAGTCAGGAAGGTCACATCCTGATCTGAGATGGATTTCAATGGTTATGGCACTGTGCTGCAGATCTGTATATATGTATGTTAAATACGTACATGATTTCTAGTTGCATGCTTACTCTAAAGGTGTGTCTGGATTGAAGGCTCATTGTTCTAGAACCAGCTTGCTTCAACAGTGGGTAGAGAATCACCAGTGGCATGTTAATTGCTGGGTGCAATATCCTGGCTCTGAAATTCTAATTGATCTTTTAATAATCAGTCCTGACATTGGAATTCCCCTTCTACTTCCTCAGCATTGTTGTAACCCATATATATGTTCCACTTTACTTCTGCTAGCAGTGTGCTCTTATTAATCTGGAATATCCCATTTCTGATTATTAGTTGATACATAAAACTCTGTAGTTTTCTTACACTAAAGTAACTTTACATGAGAGAAAATTTATAAATCCACAGATTTTAATTTTGCACAATTTTACTGGTCCATTCTTCCTCAGTTATTTTCATATTACTGTAATAAACCACCCTGTTATGCAAAGATCTTTTCCTCACTAGAAGTAAACTAGTAGATGGATTCACACATTGCATTAAATTACTGTTTATTTTAAATATAATTGTTTAAGCATAATAACAAGCTGAACTCAGTCTTGTAGATGAGCAAAGTTATCATGGCTTATTCAGCTAATTCAGCTAGTTCTCTTCATTTTAATGTTTCTTGTTCTATAACCTTGTGAAGTGCTTAAAGAATACACAAACCAGGGATAAGCCAGGAAATCACAATAAGCCAAGCATGATCATTTATGCATCACAATTCCTGGTTGCAACTAGTAAGTAGACAACTATCATAACTTTAATGCAATGTGTGAGCTCAGCAGCTATATGCAAACCTACATTAGAATCTTATGATAAATGTGCATGAATAAACATGGCTTGAAATTGTTTTTTTTTTCCCCTCCTGTTTTGTTCACAATCTAAAACATATGGCACTTAATACTATGAATACTCAGCTCTATTACCCAGCTGCACCTGGTAGGGCTATTATGAAATACCTTTATATTGCAGGTGTAATCATCATTAATGGAAGAATACTTCATTTTGAAACACTTGGATATGGTAGATGCTGTAGTTTCCCAATACATTGCAACTAGACTTATTTTCTGTCAAGCACAACTATATTGAAGGCTCTGACAGCATGATGAGTAATGCTGCAAAAAAGGGAGTTGAAGCCCTTAGCAGGTGCATTAATTTTCTATGATTGTTACGTTCACAATGAGCATTTATTAGTAATACACTGCTGGGGAAATCTCATGTATATCATCTTAGGAGGAGAGTCCTATCCAGTTCAGTGGGATTTCTAGTGACCTCATCCATGCAGTTTTCTTGGCAAAAATACCAAAGTGATTTTCCATTGCCATCTTCTGGGATGTTAGCTCAAGGTTCCAGTCTACCCTGCAACCCCAGTATTAATTAGGACTGACCCTGCTTAGATTTGGAGATCAAAGATTAGCTAGGGGTTAAGTTCTACTGTTCTCATTGAGACTTCTGAGTGACATGCATTGCCCATCCACTGAGCATGAGATAGTTGAAGATGCCAATTAAAGTTCCTTTAGTCATCATCCATCTCTAACTAGTTTTAATTAGGCTGCCACCTCCCTTTGCATAATCACTAAACCACTGATGTTGGTGGAGAATGGCAATTCAACATTTTGGTTGTTTACCCATATATATTCTGATTGCTTCCAGTTTTTGTTGCTTTCTGCTTGCAAGAAGAGTGTGCAATAATGTACCACTCTAGTATGTCTGAAAAATAACGTTTGTAGCAGTTTCCACCCTCTTTTTTTCCCTTCCCAATTTTCTAAATGTTTGCATCCCAATACTTCCCAGTGTACTTCTACTTTCTTCTCAGGCATATGGCTTTCTGGTGTGACTCACTGGCTTAGTTTTTTCAGAAGAAATGGAAACTGCACAGATGCTTCTGACCCCCCCCCCCCCAGCTATAGGTTTTAATCCCACATATGTTAC